ATGTGGAGGGCCATGATCACCTACACCCTTGTGTAAATTAATTGAAACAAAACAAATAATTCTGTTATTTTTTCTTTTTTTACTCGTAATTTTCCAATGAAACATGACCTAGTGAACATATTAGTACTTCGTATGTCAATTACACGAAGTCATCCCTTGCAGATTGACCCCAGATTCCCGATTGGATTTACACTGCGTGACAAATTATTATCGAGATAACTTTTTTCTAATATTTCAAAAACCTTAAAATCAATTCACACACAATTCTCACACAATGTTGGTAACACTGGCCTACGCAATCACTGAAATTTTCGTACTGATCTGCGCAATGTAAACAAACTGGCGCCATATTTGTTATCAGCACAGTGATTTGAGCGTGCCAAATTATTAGAAAAGTGTAAGAATTTAGTGAAAAGATGGACCGTAAAAGCAGTTTAAGTGATGCTGAAAAGAAAACTATCACCTCAGAACTCTCAAAAGGTAAATCTACCCTAGAAATTTCTAAAATGATAGGGAGGTGTCATCAAACAGCGAAAAAGTTCACCGCCGACCCTACACAAGTGCGCAAAAGGGTAGATAAAGGCAAGCCGAGGGTTATTTCATGTCGTCTCATGTCACGACTTAAACGAGAGGCCACAAAGTACCCTGGACTTACCAGTCAAGAGCTTTTCAGTCACATTGGGGATCCTACTGTGTCTAAAAGTACTCTGTGTCGGTATCTGAGGGAAAAAGCAACAACAGTCAAACCTGTATCGAAGCCTCCGTTGACGAGAAATCACATTCAAAATCGATTGAAATGGACCGAGGACAATATGAAGATTGACTTCTCTAAAGTTTTGTCCACAGACAAAACTCGAGTAACACTTCATGGGCCAGATAGATGGTGCAAAGGCTGGTTAATGAACGGACAGAATCGCCATCAGCGTTTGAGACGCCAACAAGGCGGAGGAGGCATAATGATCTGGGGTGGTATTATTGGAAAAACATTAATGGGCCCATGGAGAATACCAGATGGCGTCAAAATGACTGTTGATGCATACATAGCGTTTATGAAGGAGCATCTTGAACCGTGGATGAAAAGGCAAAGAGTTGCCTTCAGAAGGGCCATTATTTTTATGCAAGATAATGCTCCCTCACATGCTGCTCACAAGACTACCGAATATTTGAAACAGTTAGGCTTCGATGGACCTCGAAAAATGAAGTGGCCAGCAAATTCTCTGGATTTGAACCCAATCGAAAATCTTTGGAGTATCATGAAGCGAAGACTGTACACCAACGGACGACAATTCAGGAGCAACGCTGAGTTGTGGGAAGCAATTCTTGACATATCTCGTGGCATTACAGCAGATGACATCCTACAATTAACAAATTCTATGGATCGTTGACTTCTTCAAGTAATTTAAAAACAGGGAAAGCACATTCCCTATTAATTTGTTTAAAACTGTGCCTTTGTTTGTATCTGTTATTATTTGTTTGATTATCTTATTTATTAGCTTCTTTTGATCATAAACATTCACGTACAACATTAATAAGCGTATTGTTTGCTCAATTCTTTTATGAATATGTGACAGAGAGAGAGAGTGTCTGGGAAACACGCACACACACATACACACACATATTTTTTCAGTGAAATTGGAGTAGATTTGAATAGCGAAATTAAATCAGAGCATTTTGTTTACTGATGGGAAAATCTGATCTAGGACAGAAGTTGTACCCATTGAATGCAGATCATCAGAAGACAATGGAAATGGTCGAAATAATTTTTATCAATTAAAAATTGAAATAGAGCTGAGTAAGCTAGAAGGAACTTTGGAATTCACATGATTTTGGTTGAAGCAGCCAGAACCCCGTGATAATCGCGTGCGAAGTAGTATGGCCGAGGGTTAGTTATAATCAGCCGGGTTTATCTATATAAACGTGTAGATATGCTGAAAAAGAAAGCCTGGAGAGAACTGTTGAAGAGAGAAGAGAGAATTGGCCCAGGCGAGTGTTGGGAGGAGGAATGCCACTATAACTTTAAGCCCTGCACAGAAATCTTTATCCCTTCATCGCAAGAGTCATATATCGTTCTGAGATGATTTAACAACAAGATAATCACCTACTCACTCTCTCTCTCTCTCTATCTATCTATCTATCTATCTATCTATCTATCTATCTCTGTGTCTAGAATCCAGTGTATGAGTTTATTACTTTTCTTTTCTGTAACTCGATTCTCTTCTCTACAATTCTTTTCTACTATATAAAAAAACATTACAAATTCAACCATTGAATCGATGTTTGTCCAGCTTTCTGTAGATATTAATTTTTTTTGCTTCATTCTAAATTTCTTAGCGCAGACTCCCCAGCCGTGTCTACATCTTCACTCGCCGTGAATGGATGGACATCACTTCTGCTTTCTGGATCAAACAAATCACAACGTGGGCAGGAAGCAGGATTAAACCAACGGACCAGTCGAATAATCTACAGGTGCCCAGGGGACCTATGACCACTCCCTTAAGTTCGGTTAAGACCGAATAGACACCTCAACCCCGAGAATAAGACGCTGGAGGTTGAAGGGCCGGGGCTAAAGTGTTAGAATAGGGGTTTATTTTTTCTTTGTTCTGTTGCTCTTGCTCCAAGTATCGTTACAAAATTTACATAATCAAACCAGATAACTAATTGTAATCACTGCAAATTAATATCACCAAATCCCTTCAAACTATTGTTAGTGTCCTCATTATGGACTGGACAATTTGAATCCTTTCTCGAATCTCTATTTTTCCCCAGTCTCGTTTCTAATATTTTGGGACGCTTCACAATCTTCCATTAAGTTGAGACATATGGAACCAATAACACCGAATGTAGGATCCTCACTACACGTTTCTTAAATATATATTGTCCAAGTCACACTCCTCTCCGGTCTTTTGAACAGGAGTAGAGGTTTATCCTATTTAGAATTAAAGTGTTCCCATTCTCTTTTACCCCCAGTATGTCTGTTGTGGAGTATTTTCACATTGGAGGCTTGTATTTCTAATAAGTCGTCCTAAGTTAGGTCCGACGTACAAAACGTTGGGAACTTGGAAAATAAGAGTCAATGACACAGCAAATCTAGTTGTGATGGTTGGTACTTCAAATGTCCGAATCTCCGGTTTCTTCTAAAGTCAACTTCAACTTTACGCTTCTAACGTCTCCACTTAAACTAAAATTTTATTTGCTATTTATTTCCTCAAGAGGAGTTGATAGATCAACCTATCATATGGTTCACACTCTTCCGAGGTCTTTTGAACAGGAGTAAAATTTTATTCCTTGTTTCCTGTTTAGGATGGGGTTTTCCGTTCTTTGTAAACTTTTCTTATTGTTTCTCACTCAGCCCTTTGCGTCTTAGTGGTATAAACGCCTTGCTTGGGGTGAATTGATTTAAAAAAATATCTTAACAGCTTGTGTGTAAGGTTGGATTGTCAGAGCATTATTTATTAGGAATTCTTAAAACGCAATGAAACACTAAAAGCACATTTATCATTCAGCAGCTGGAGCGTGTCCATAAAATATGTTACTATTATTATTATTATTTGAATTGAAATCTTATTCAACTTGCTGATGATTCAACTGGCTAAAGACACAACACTTTCCTCAGCACATGAGCTGTTCCAAGCAGTGCTGCCACCTACGCACTCTAAATGATATCAAGTACCTCCAGGGCGTCTTTTGAGACTAGAAGATACCTGGAAATAATCCTGGTCTCAGTATATGTGTATTTTTATCAGCTCCCCCTTTACTATGTTGCTGTTGTTGTTTTTCTTTCTTTCTTTCTTCTTCTTCTTCTTCTTCTTCTTCTTATTATTATTATTATTATTATTATTATTATTCATATATTTATATATTCACATGTGAATGTGGTATTCATCTCTGAAGATTGAGAAACAAGCTTCCCAAATTCTCCAGCACCTTCCTCAGTATCCTAACCAACCCCAGCAATGCGATGGTCAATTCAGCCTCAAGCTTTCTTCTCGTCTGTAACTCGTCTGATCTTGATTCTCTTGTTTTTTTAGAATGCTTCCAAGTACACATGCTATTATGGGCACAATTCAAAACTATATATTTCATATCTTTCTCCGTTCCCTGGGCAGAGTCATAATATTTTCCAATTTCTCGTTTTACATATTGTTTAATTTGTCGCGTCCATGGCGCGACCCCCCAAAAAGCAAGTTCTTTTCTCACTTTATTCACAATTATCACATCCGGTATTCTTTCTTGGGTAATCTCGAATTTCTGAATGAGATATTTCGTTCCTATGATAATAAGAAGCATTATTCGATGTTAATAAGTGAACATGTCTCGTGTTACCTTAAGAACGGAATATCTTAATGAAGAATTTCAGGTTACTGATACGTTTCTTTTATTTCTTCTTTCATATCAACTTCCTTTGGATGTTTTATTATAAATCTGAATTTTTCAGACATGCAACAATAGTGTTGATTTCCTAAATAAATAGAAACTACATTATTCATGCAAGAAAATGTAAATGACTTTAATGTTGCTGGTCTCTTTTTTTTTTTTTTTTTTTTTTACTGTTGTTGTAAACGAGTTATTATAAACACTTATTATTTTAAACAGAAATTAATTCTTTATAAAAAAAAAATATTCCTTCAAATTTTACTTCATCTTTTTTTCTCTCCGGGTTTTCTTTCTCTCGTGTCATTTTTATTTTCAACTTTGTCAAACTTTTACGTCCAAACAAAATTAGTATTGAATTAGAAAGCCTGTCATATGATTCTAAGTTTAAATTTAAATGTCCTCGCGGGGCACTTCTCCGCATGCGCGACAAAGATTTTACTGAAGAAAGCGCCATCTGTAGTGTGTGTGGTGTGTGTGTGTATGTGTATGTGTGTGTGTTTGTGTGTTTTATGTTCTTTCTTCGTCTCTTGATTTCATTTCATTCATTTTTGTTTCCTTTTATCTCCAGTCATGCAGCATACTTTAAACTTCCGGTATACACCTGCTACTACGCATGTCTCGAACTTCTACTTTTGAGGAACCTCCAGCAACTTCCGGAACCGGTTCACGTTGAAAGAAAGAAAGAAAGAAAGAAAGAGGAAAAAGAAAGAAAAAGGAGAAAGAAAGAAAACGAATTTACGACTGCAGGTGTTGCTTTCAAAGGAAATTGCTCGGAAAGAGAACAATTATTTTTAAAGCGATGCTAATTTGTAATAATGTCAAAAGGTGATAAAGTCTTTTTGCCATGTACCTAATCCACCCGTAAGGAACGCACGATATACCCATGAGAACAAAATGTCTTCCGTTTTCTGTAGCTAATTTCGGCAGCGAAAGAACCCTTTCGTTAAATACGAATCGTCAACGTTCAACAATTCATGTTAAGGTTTCAAACCCAAGATCTGTTACAAAAATCCTTATTTCTTTTTATTCTATTTTATTTTATTTTATTTTTTTTTATCAGTTCACCTCAAAGAAGGCGATAATGCTACTAAGACGCAAGAAGCTACTGGGGATAAAAGAGAATGAAAAGATTTTTGAAGAAACCAGAAAGCTAATACTAAACAGGATAAACCACTACTCCTGTTCAAAAAACGAGGAGGGGTTTGAACTGGAAGGTAAGCAAACCTATCTATTCTGAATATAATTGTATTATATCAGATATATACCCCAACGTCTACCACACACAAGTGTTAAACAAAAACAAAGGCAAGTGATTTTCTTATCCCCTTGAGAGGGAGGGTATTCGCCAGACACTGACCGCTGAACGTTTAAGAGCGCTCAAAGTCTTGGTTTTAAACAAGTTCTAGAGAATTTCGTCAGGGGTTCTCTTGTTTTTTGGAAAGCTTCCAAGATCATGTCCTATTAAGGGCACAATTCAAAACTATATATTTCATATCTTTCTCCGTTCCCTGGGCAGAGTCATAATATTTTCCAATTTCTCGTTTTATATATTGTTTATTTTGTCGCGTCCATGGTACGACCCCACAAAAAGGCAAGTTCTCTTCTCACTTTATTCACAATTATCACATCCGGTATTCTTTCTTGGGTAATCTCGAATTTCCGAATGAGATATTTCGTTCCCATGATAATAAGAAGCATTATTCGATGCTAATAAGTGAACATGTCTCGTGTTACCTTAAGAACGGAATATCTCAATAAAGAATTTCAGGTTACTGATACGTTTCTTTTATTTCTTTTGTTTCGTTAAAGGGAGATAACCGCGGATAATTGATGACTCTCTCCTTCAATTTGCAGACCCTAGTTACTATATTCTTAACATTTGATATGATGCAAAAATATCACAAAGACAAAATCGCTCAATAATTATTTATAACTATTTATACGGGGACTCAGGCATACAAATTCTATTTATTTTTGGCATATGAATTTTTTTTTAAACTGTTTCTAAATCTTTGATTGTCTTTTAATCACTCCGCCTCACCGGCTATCCTGTTGCTCGCACCATTTGGGGACTCCTAGTCTAGGACAAGATAATCTGACGAAGCCCATCCTTCTCCAGACTAGTTTTGAATTCAGAATTTTTCAGACGAGTTGCCTTACCTGGATGTGGTGGGGGATATAGATTCATCACCTTATCAAAGGTTATTAATGCAAAAGTGAACGTAATGATCTCGGCGTGTTCTTTTCGAAACGTAAACCGTTACACTACAAGCAGATTCTTACAACGAGATAAATAACGTACAAAACGAATTTGTTATGTGATGCATTGCCACCATGAAAAGATCTCCTTTTCTGTACTGTGAAGTCCGTCATAGGCGAGAAGGAAGGCACGCCGGATCAAATGATGGTTTCGCCTACAAAGGGGGACGAAGGTTCGATTCCTGCCGGAGAGTGTATATTCGCTGAGTTTTAACATTCGTGACCGCTAAAAAATAGGTGCCTAATAAGAACTGTTTTTCCTTTGACACCACTGTTATTTTAACTACCTTCACTCCTCGACAATGTTTACTGTTTTAAAAAGTGTTGATTAAAATTGTCATAAAGCTAAACATATGATGAATGTGAATTTCTACATTTTCATTTTAACTCTTGAGGATTTGCAAAACATGTTAAACGTTTATTTATTAGATTGTTTATTTACAAAAATAATTTACAACATTCCCAAAACTAATTCAATTACCGTATTTTCCGGCTTACAAAAAGCACTTTTTTTCCTAAAAAATACGTGCGTCTTCCAAGATGAACTTAATTCAACGCCCAGACTCAGGTGAGCCTGGATTGTCACTTCATTTGCTTAACTAATAGGGTCGTGGATTTGTATGTTGAGTCAGTACATTATAATGTTAGCTATCTAATTCCGTCTTTTAATGTAACATCAGTACTTAGTTGTTGCAAGTATTTCCAAGATTATAAACCTTCCGGGAGCCGAACCACAAACTTAAAAGTACTCTGTTTATTTTCTTTTTTATACACACACACACACACATATATATATATTATGAAATGGACAAAGCCCAACAATTATTTTAAGATATTTTTATGTTTATACATTCTTTTTATAGATACAAATATTTAAGTAAATGCTCTGTTTTTTTGTATTTATATCATTTACCGGCCTGAAATCTTCATAAAAATATTCGTCCTCTGACAGGAATCGAACCTGCATCCTATACGGAACTGTCACTTAGCCTGGCATGCTCTTAACCGATCGAGCCACAGGATTGTTCGGTTGGCATGGTCGAATTTACTGGCTTTAAACTTCAATCAATACAATACAATGCTTGAAAAGAAAACGAAAGGGAGTAGGAAATATTCATATATATATATATATATATATATATACACACACACACACACACACACACATATATATATATATATATATATATATATATATATATATATATATATATATATATATATATATATATATATATATATATAAAATGAACGTTGAGGTCAACACTTAGAGGCGACGGGCTTTTTCATGCTAGACGCAATCGTCAGGCCACCATATATATATATATATATATATATATGGAATCATATTTTTAAATAAATAATTATATTTATGCTCTACTTTTGTATCGAGAACTATTTTTTAAAATAATAACAAAAATACTAAAGAACTTTGGATTATTTACCTAACCAGTTCTTTCCTATTTTCTATATATTTTCATACACACACACACACACACACACACACACACATATATATATATATATATATATATATATATATATATATATATATACCCAAGTGTACGATTATGTATACGGAATAAATTCCAATAACCGAAAAATACTATTCTTAAAAAGAGTGCTCAATACAGAGTAGAGCAAATATAATTTATTCGAAAATTATAACATAAATATGTTATAAAATCACTATAAAAATAGCCATTTTGTTTCAACACTGGTGCCTTATCAAGTGATTGTGTTGAATGTAGAATAAACTCATTATTCTACATTCAACACCATCACTTGATAAGGCACCAAAAGTAGTGATTTTATAAGATATTTATGTTATAATTTTCGAATAAATTAGATATACATATATATATATGTGTGTGTGTGTGTGTGCGTGTGCGTGCGTGTGCGTGTGTGCGTGTGTGTGTGTTTTATTTAGATCTATAAAAGATAACATGAGGAGAGACAGTCGAACCGACAGTGATAAAAAAAAATGGTGGAAGATGAGAAAGATGACGATGAAGAAGAAGAAGAAAAAAACTGAATGAAGGAAATAAAAAAAAACAGGAATGTGAAAGAAAGACTTAGAAATCTCAGACGATGAAAGCACAAAGTTAAATGGGAAAAAGGAGAGGAAAAAACAAGAAGAAGAGGCGAGAGGAGTAGGAAGAGGAGAAAGAAATTTAAAATATTAAAATAATGGGCAGGAGGCCCTTAAAAGAGTAGTAGGATGAGGAGGAATGTGATTGGAGGGAAATCAATGAAATCTGTATGATTGCAGAGGGGAGACGAGTCGAAGATGAAATGAAGAAGGAGGAGGAGAGATTTGAAAGGGTGGGAGTTGGACAAAAGACAGAAAGAAAATAAAATGAGTTGGAAGAGGAGAAAAAGAGAGAGCGGGCTAAGAAACGATAAGAGAGGGACTATTAGGAGAAGGTAGAGGAGAAGAACAGAAAAGATAAAAGTGGTGGGGGGAGGCACAAAGAATGGACTGAGTTTTTTTTTTTTTAATGTCAAAGTCTATCTTGTCGTCAAGATTTAAAATGCCGAATCGATAAGAAAATTCTCTCCCCACACACCCACCCTAAAATAAATAAAACAACAAGAGAAAGGTAATTCTAATGGCATCGAGAAATCGATCAATAGTCTTTGTTTCCAATTTTTTTGATAAAATGTTTTATATTTTACTTAATTTATCTAATCTATACTTAACATATATTAGTATCAGTATATATATATATATATATATATATATATATATATATATATAATATATACTCTCCGTCGCGTTCGACGTATGAGGGTCAGGCCGATAAGTCCCCAGGAAACCGACATCCCGACACCGTCACATGAGATTTGTTTATAGTGGTGAAGGCCTCGTGCAGGACCAGCCACACTTTTTGGATGGACGAATACAGAAACCTGGTGCACCGAATGCATGCCACAAGGTTCCCAAACGACCCTCCGCAGGTTTTGAATTCAGAGTTGTCCTTCTCCTGGACCAGTTGCCATCCAAGGCTATAGAACCCAGTCTGTCCTGCTATTTTACCCATAGCTGGAGGGAGATGAAGAGGATACATACCTTTCCCAGGGTATATATATATATATATATATATATATATATATATATAATGACGACAATTTACCCATCGCCCCTTGTATATATACTGTGCGATGGGTAAATTGTCGTCATTTTATATTTTTTAATTGCGCGTTTTTGTTTTTTTATTTTTTGTCGACTGCACAATATAATAGGGTCAGTTGGGCACCAGCTGTGAGTAAAAGACCGCCATGACGTAATTCACCCCGCCAGAAATTTGGAAATGACATGCTGTACTACTTGGCATTCGTGCTGGAAGTTCCAATGCAGTGCAAAGGATTCAGAAAGAGATGGATGAGTCTAATGGTGATTACGAATGTACGGCAGCTCGTAAAGGAATGAAAACCTATTATAGAAAAGTTCTCTGCCTAATCAGCCATGAATCGAAAGAGACTTGTAGGCCCAAGTGTGTATTGCGTATGGCCCTTAACTGGCTGATTACGTCCGTCGGCCTCGAAAAATCTTAATAAAGAAAATGTGCTCTCCGCCAGGGATCGAACCTGCACCCCGCTTTGATCCAGCGTGCTTCACCGTTCACGGAGAGTGTCACAGTGCGGCCAGTTTCTATTTTCTCTTTTTAAGGAAAACACACTTCCTCGCTCGGATTACTTTTCCCAAAAGTTCATACCTCCTTCCATTTCGTACCCGAAAAGTAAACAAAGCAATTTCTAAAGAATTAATGGATTTTATTTTTAGCCTAACATTTTCATTACTTTCAACATTACTTTCTGTCCTAGAAAAAGACCAGACGACATGCGTTGAATGGATGCCATCATTCGTTTGAAAAAAGGCACCCCGACCCTACCTTGACTTAACCTCTTTTCTAAAGTAACTAATATGTTGATACAATAGTTGTCAGTGAAAATAAATACCCTACCGCCCCTTATTAAAATGATTGGTTTTCTCCATATCCATAGAAGCTAATATTATGAATGGATGTGCTCCGTAAATTTCAAAATAAGTTATTCCAAAATTCGCTTGAAAATAAAAACAGAACTAGGTACTTTATTTTAATTTCTGTAATTGAATTGGAATTTTTTAGCTTCTGTTTTTGAAACATGGTAATTCCTGTGTAGCAATGAAATTATTTTTTTTTTTAAATAATTATAATCTAGGCTCTACTTGTGTATCGAGCACTTTTTTAAAAAAATAAAAACAAAAATACTAAAGAACTTCGGATCATCAATCTAACGGTTCTTTCCTATTTTATCTATATATTTACACACACACACACATACACACACATACACACAAACACACACACATATATATATATAATGATTTAATAACGATCAATATATCTATGAATATATGCTTTTAATTATATAATCAACAAATATTGGTCATTACACACACAAATATGTGTGTTATTCTTGAGTTAGAAAACATTGAACGCATACACATACGCACGGAAGGATTCATGTGCACACGCACGCGAACGCACACACACACACATACACACACACACACATACACTATGAAAAAAACTTGCACTAATGAAAAATTTATATAAAAAAGAAAAATCGAGAAATATAAGCAGACAATTGCTGATATCCTCTGACGAGTGGACGGTGTGATTACTGGAGGGACCGTCTACGAAATTCTGGAGTCGGTATGTTGAAGATGACATCAATCAGCTAAGTGACAAGACTTTTATTTGTATTACTTATATATATATATATATGTGTGTGTGTGTGTGTGTGTGTGTGTGTGTGTGTGTGTGTGTGTGTGTGTGTGTGTGTATTTGTGTGTGTTTGTGTGTGTAAGTTATTTGCTCATTTGCTTTTTTTGTATTTTTCTTGTTGGATATTAAACGAATATTGAGGGATTTTTTTGCTTTTTTTTTTTTTTTGTTTTTTTAAACAGACGTGGTTTGCCCATCGAAGATGAATTTCCCTACAGCCATTTCTAATTAGGTCGCTAGATAGAAGAGAAACAAACGATAAGAATTTCTTTAGTACATTCTGCCGAGGCAAAATAAATTTTTAAATCTCAGCAGTGTTGTATTTTGTCCCATAGTATGAGACTTTCTCATCTACCAAAAAACGATATCCATCTCTGTCAATCTGAGAACGAAACACCTGTTGGAAGCGTTTGGTGTTATTAAATTCGCTGGGGTAAGCATCAAGATTCATTAGTCCGACGAATACAACCAAAGAAAAAACCGGAAAGAAATAGCAGCAATACATAGGAGGAGATAACATGAAAGGGTGCTGAAAAGATTTGACTATTCTTCTTCGTAAGACCCCCTGACGAGTGGGTGGAGTGATTCTCGAATGTTCCATCTACGAAACTCAGGAGTCGGGATGTTGAAGGTGAGATCAATCAGCTAAGTGGCAAACTTTTGACATGTATTAATCATACTTATTATAAAACCCAGGTTGTGTGTGTGTGTGTCTGTTCGTTTATATATTGGATCAGATTTCCTACATTTTTCAACCGATTTCAACAAAACTTCACAGGACTACGTAAAATTACCTTGCGGTGGTTCTGACAGCGCCAAAAATTGGAAAAACAGAATTGGTTTTGCACAAAATCAATTTGAAAACACGATTAAGAGGCATCGCTGTTTCGAGAATGAAAGGGGGACAACTCATATCGAGTTATACTTATTATAAAACCCAGGTTGTATGTGTGTGTGTGTGTGTGTGTGTGTGTGTGTGTAAGGGATCGGATTTCCTACATTTTTCAACTGATTTCAACAAAACTTTTTTTGGCAGATAGTGTTTCTTATTGTCTTGCACACTTTTTTCTTTATTTTTACATTCAGAATGCTTTAAAAATTCCATTTACAAGACAATTGTTTATAATAAAATTCTATTCAATCGGTAGACTCATAATGATTGAAAGCAATGCTTTTGTTTGAGTTTGGGTTTGACCAATTCGTAAAAAAAACAAAAAAACAAACAAACAAAAAATAATTCAGACATGTGTGTCCGTCAACCTTAAACAATAATCTTTGTCAATTTTATTTTTCAGTCTTTATCATGGTCGATACTTGATCTATCTCTTACTGTTACATCCCCGGGCAACACCGGGCTCTACTGCTAGTTCTATATATACAGAGCCGGATGATGAAATTTTGGCGCCCCTTGGCTGATGAAATTATCGGACATGCTCTCATACAGAGCAACCTTCTAACCCTAACCCGCACAAGACTTGAATATTTTTTTACTTGTGATATATTTTAGTGACATTTATGAATTTTGAAGTAAAGTTAAAGAAAATACAAATTCTTTAAATGAACTAGAATAGAATTGTTTGTCAAAAATATTTAAGTACCAATATCTAAGTACTAATATTTAAGAAGTACCAATATTTTAGTATTTACTACAAACCAAATTAGCACATATTTCAACACAACCGTAACAAATAAAAAATAGATTTTTATAACCAGCATTATATCCAAGCTTGACGGGCCCTGGGCTGCATACTCTACTAGCCTAAGACGATAATACATATATATTAAAATAAAATAACATGGTGATATTTATTTCATTAAGATCGAAAAATTCCGATCTCAATTCTGGTGAGTTGAGGTCGGAACTTTTCAATCTTAACGGAATAAATATCAACATGGTATTTTAAGAGTTCGTTTTCTTTACAATAATTATTATTATTGCTCTGTTTTTTGACATTGAGCTCTCCTGGATTTATATCCTTTAGGAATATCCATACCGATTACTAAATATCATTATATATATATATATATATATATATATATATATATATATATATGATTGGTGTATACGGAATAAATTCCAATAACCAACAATTACTATTCTTAAAAAGAGTGCTCAATACAGAGTAGAGCGAATAATATTTATGTTATAATTTTGAATAAATAATTATATATATACATATATATATATATATATATATATATATATATATATATATATATATATATATTTTTTCCATTTATCTCTCTATATCTCTTACTTTCTTATCTTCTCTCTCTCTCTCTCTCTCTCTCTCTCTCCCTCTCTTTCATTTCTTCCTTTCTTTCTTTTCTTAGTTTAAAAAAAAATTATATTTTATTTTTTTTTATTTTTCTTTCTTCTTTTTTCCCTCTTCTGTATATTTCTAGCTATCTGGACGGATTACTTCCATTTCTAAAAAAAAACTTTCAATATGTAAAAGTGAATATTAAAACATTCATGAAATAAATTATTACCGAAATTGAGTTTCAAGGTTTTTATTGATTTATTATATATAGTCATTCACATACGCGCCTGTTTCGCTGTATCACAGCTTATCAGTGTGGCTAGAGGCCCGATTGCTTCAAGCCGGGTTCGAAACTCGACGGATTCGGCATCAGAGATTCTACCCCTAAGCTATCGGTGCACGGCAGAACAAGGGAAATTCTAACGTGTTATATACGTGATGCATACAAACGCTAGTAGCCAAGAGCGCTCAATTCGTAAATGAAGAGCAATGCGTTATATATATATATATATATATATATATATATATATATACAGTGAATTTTAATTAATGAGATCTAAACGATTGGATCACATTAATTGTAATTCGCTTATATGCTCTATAATTAAAAATATGTTCAGCTCTTTTTGTTTTATATTAATAGGATCTACTTGGATTACTTACCCACAGATTTCTTGATATATATATATATGGACATTTTTATGTTTATACATTCTTTTTATAGATACAAATATTTAAGTAAATACTCTGTTCATAATAAACAGTATTAAACAACATTTACCGGCTTGAATGCCCGAGAAATCTCCACAGAAAATATTCGTCCTCCGGCAGGAATCGAACCCGTATCCTATACGGAACCTTCATATAGCTTGACGTGCCTTAACCGTTTCGGCCACAGAGGAGCGTTTAGTTAGAAAGGTCGAATTTATTGCCTTTAAAGTACAATCTTTCATGATTCTCTCACGTACATTCATATCTGCTCAATGCGTATCCAAATGTAAACAAATGACGTCACACATTATGAAATGTTTAATACGGTTTATTATAAAACAGAGCATTTACTTAAATATTTGGATCTATTTCATTCTAGCGGTGAAGGTTTGTGCAGAATCGACCACAGCTTTTTGGAAGGGCTGAATCTAGAGAACTGATGAACAAACTGTCCCACATGGTCTCCGAACGAGCCACCACATGGTTGGAATTCAGAGTTCTTCTAGACACCCTCCATGGATATAGGATTAAGTCTGTCCCGCTATTTAACCAATAGCTAGCCGGGGAGAAGAAGATTGGAGATAGATTTTGGCGCTAGAGAATGTTGGGCAAGACATGTTAAACCGTGTGCGGCAGGAGCGGGATAACCGACTTAACGTGTAGCGTATCACAGATAATGCATTGTATCTTTGTCTTTAATATGATTTCTCGAATATTCAGGCCGGTAGACAAAAATAAATATACTGTTTAAAATAAACAGAGCGTCTGCCCAAATATGGGTATTCATTAAAAATTTAAATAACGTGACGGTCAGTCTATCCTCAGTAGCTGAAGATTGGGTTGTGAATGAAACTCCGAGTTGTGCTATCGGTGAGGGATCATATGTATATTTATTAATAGCTCTGATGTATTACATCGAGCACTGTTTTATCAACACCAGCACTATACGTGACATATATATATATATATATATATATATATATATATATATATATATATATATATATAGAGAGAGATTGGGATTGGGGATTGGGTTGTGGATGAAACTCCGAGTTATGTTATCGTTGTGGGATAATATGAATATCTATTAATATATATCAATAGTTCTGTTGTATTACACCAAGCAGTGTTTTATCGACACCAGCACTATATGTGTGATATATTATAATTATACACACACACACACACACACATATATATATATATATATATATATATATATATATATATATATATATATATATATATATATTACTTTAAACGTTATTTTTAGTGGGTACACATAATTGATTTGCTATCGTTTAAAAAAACAGGGATAGCAAATCAAATCTTAGTTTGGAGGAGATTTTTGTTCGGTTGTTTTTTTTGTTGCTTTTTTTGTTTTTTTTTTGTTTTTTTTTTTGCATAACTTCTTTAAAAAAACAGAAGGAAAAAGAGAGATGTCAGCGTATCCTGTGACTAATATATGAATTTGCATATATATATATATATATATATATATATATATATATAAATGCAATTTTATTGAATGTAGTCGATAAGTCAAATAAAATGAGTAAGATGGAGAGGAAGGAAAAAAGAGTCAAAATGAAATCGAGTAATCGTTATATACAGGTAATTCATAATCGATCAGTAAGATAAAATAATTGGTCTTATAAAAAGTTATTCGCTTACAATTACTGTCTGTTCTTTGTAAATATACGTTATGTATTTAACCATTTCCTGGTACACATACTATCCTCTCAACATCGGTTCTTGTACAATCACTGAAGTTAAGCAACGACGAGCCTTGTCAGTAACTAGATGGGCTAGATGGGTGAGGGCTTGGGAATATCAGATGCTGTAAGCCTGAGTGTGCGGGTGATGAAAAGGGATAACGACAAGGAACTGTTAATCGGAGAGCCGAGTTCTAATTCCAGTCGGGTTTGTTATATTCACTTACGGGCGAATGGTATGAATCCATCGCTTCTCCCCCCATCAACTATCGGTTAATTAATAGAAATGGTATCAGTAAAAATCATTATCATCTCCCAAAAATTTTTAGAATCAGATAATATTTTCTGGCGTTAAATATCCTAAAGAAGGTTGATAAGATGTAAAAAAAAACAAAACAAATTAGTCAATCATATTATAATCTCCTTCTCTCTATCTCTCCCTCTTTATCTATCTATCTATCTGATTGTCTCAATGTATTCATATCTATCTATCTATCTATCTATCTATCTATCTATCTATCTATCTATTTCAGTCTATTCGCATCTATCTATCTATCTATCTATCTATCTATTTCAGTCTGTTCATATCTATTTATCTATCTATCTGGGACATCTATCTATCTATCTATCTATCTATCTATCTCAGTCGGTTCATATCTATCTATCTATCTATCTATCTATCTATCTATCTATCTGGGACAATTATCTATCTATCTCAGTCTGTTCATTATCTATCTATCTATCTATCTATCTATCTATCTCTTTGACTTACATAAATATATATCCGTATATGCAGTTATTGCATTCTGACTTAAGCCGTTTCTTGGTCT